CTGAGGGGCCTGTGTACCCTGGGGAATGAACGCCGGGCATACTATGCTTAAATTTCTCATAGGTGAATGAAGGGTCCTAGGAATGGCAGGATCCATCAGTACAGTGGTGTCCTGTTATAATTTGGGGAATTGTACTGGTAGCAGAGAGAGGAAGATACTTAGTACCAAAAATTGTATCCTGTATTTACATTTTAAATATCCTTTCCAATTAACAGGGTATGTTACACAAGTCAGCCAGCCTCTTTTCCCTCAACTGTAAATTGAAGCTAATAAATGGCCTGTCCATACTTCCCAGAGGGGGGTCCATATTGGTTTTTTTCTGGATTTTTGACTTAAAGAGGACTTGTGACATTATCCGGAGCTTTGTCCAAAGTAAAACTTTCCTCTTTGTTTTTTTTAAAAAGTAGTTGACAGCTGCTTGAGGTTTCATACAGGGCCAAGAGAATGTATAATAGTCGGGAGGTTGCAGATCATTCCAAGTCTTTAAAAATATTCCTTGACTATGAGCTGTTACCCATTTGGGAAGGTATTGATTGGCCTTGGGTTAAAGTTCATCTAAAATTAATACCTGGTGGGCCAGCGAGATAGTTTGGTGGACCAAAGCACCTGCTTAGGCAAGATTAGGCAAGCGCAGGGACCTTGGTTTGATCCCCAGCACCACATGCGGCGCTGGCCCTGTCTATAGGGTGGGCTGAGCCAACCAGAGTAGACATAGTGCTGCATACCTGTAATCCCAGTGCTGGGAAGGCTGAAAGCAGGAGGATCACTACAAATCCGAACTGTGTAGTGAGACCCTGCAACAACCACGTACATTTAAAAATAATAATAAAAATAAAATTAATACCTTGTGGATTTTTTTCCTTACAGTAGCTGATGTTTTTACTGTATCACTTAATGTGTGGTGGTCAGATTAACTTCTGTTTGCCTTAATTTCTAGGGTGTTTGTTTTGATGTCCGTACTGCTGCAGTTACAGAAATACAGGTATTTTCTCTTGTATTTTAAAGTTAACATTACTGGGTTGGGAAGATAGCTAAAAGATTAAAAAAATAAAGTTAATATACCTAAATTATAAAGTGTTCATTACAGGATAATAAGATGGAACATAGCAAGAGTTCTAAGCCTCTTCTATAGGACAGCTGACAGTTCAAATTTTGGTGATATTTTTATTCTGTACATCTTTATTCAGTACTGCTGTGGGAAATGCAACTGTACCTGACATAGTTCATGAGCTCTGACAGCTGTAGAGACCCTGTAGCAATTGAGTGGAATGAAGCGAGTTATCTCATAATGAGGCTCTTTTTTCATTTGTCAGTGGCCCTGGCTTTAAGCTAAAAGGGAGCTCCTTGCTGTTTTGAACCAGTGACCTTTTAAAGCACTTGAATATCAAATTGGTTGTGCATTGGGAAATAGCAATAGAAATGGTTTTCCTCATACCTCTTAAGCCAACTTTAATTAATTAAGCCAACTTTAATTAATTAAAATCAAAACAGATTGAAAACCCAGTCCTTCTCTCAACAGGAGAAATGGCATGACTCGAGACGCTGGCAGCTTGCTGTGGCCACAGAGCAGCCAGAGCTGGAAGGACCACGGGAAGGATTTCGAGGCTCCAGG